AGCGGTACGGAGTGCTCTTCACCTGCTTAACGACGCGCGCAGTCCACCTGGAAATCGCCGGCAGCCTCAGCACGGACTCCGCCATAATGGCCCTGCGGCGCTTCATAAGCCGCAGAGGGTGTCCCACGGAATTATGGTCCGACCAAGGCACCAACCTCAAAGGTGCTGAAGTTGAAGAAGGCAGCCGAGGAAGCCATCCAAGAAGAGTCATCAGTCCATTTCATCCGGTGGCGCTACATTCCCCCGAGCGCACCCTTCATGGGAGGTGCGTGGGAACGGTTGGTGCGTAGCGTGAAGACCGCACTAGCCGCCACGTTGAACGAACGGGCGCCCAAGGAAGAGGTCCTCCACACTCTACTGGTCGAAGTCGAGCACACCCTCAACAGCCGACCGCTAACCCACGTGTCGACATCGGCAGACGACGACAGCGCCCTAACCCCCAATCACTTCATATTGGGCGGTCCATCGCGCGTCCCACTGCCAGGCAGCTTCACCGAGAGCGACGCGGCGGGACACAAGGAGTGGCGTGCCAGCCAGAGGCTAGCTGACTGCTTCTGGAACCGATGGGTGAAGGAGTACCTACCCGAGTTAGCTACACACGGAGCCATCAAAATGGACGACCTGGTCCTGATAGCTGATGGGACCTTGCCTCGCAACACGTGGCCGCGAGGCGTGGTGGTGGCAACCTACCCTGGACCAGACGGCGAGATCCGAGCGGTCGACGTGCGGACGAACAAGGGCATTCTACGGCGACCCACTAAGAAGCTGATCATACTGCCCACATCGACATCGAGCGACGCGAACACGAGTTAACTCCAGCTACGAGAGCTGCGGCGGGAGATTATGTTCGCGATATTATTTGTATATATGTAATCGTGATTTATAGTTGTTAAGTCCCTAGTTTAATCGTTCTTGTATACTGTTATTTTATATAGATTTTACATAGATTTAAGATACCTATAGTGTAAGTTAAATAAAGTATTCCTTTGTGTGTTGTCATTATCACCTACAAATAGAAATAGAAATTGTAACAATAAATTGTAAATTGTAATAAATAAATAAACGCTATAGGGTACCGATCTGAAGAGACGCGCGTCTCGTTCATTCTCGCCCCGTCCCGCTCACACAGATTCGCTAACGCAAGTTGGAAATGTTATCGTGCGAGCGGGCGGGTATAAAGATAGGCCGCCTCCCGTCGAGCGGCATTCGCTTCCGAGCAGCGACGCACTACACTCGAGAAGAAATAGGACAAGAAGAAAAAATACTCTCTTCAGACGGTACCGGAGGCTTCAGAATAGTAATCCCTGTGTTTCACTCCAGCCTGAACCAACGCCCCTACAGTCCACGCTCACCGAACGGCAGTCCACACCGTTCAGTTTATATATTCTTTATTGCACTTAAACAATATATTCGACAATTAGTTTAACAACTTGTTAGCAAGGGAGGACTTTGAAAGAGATCTCTTCCAGCCAACCCAGTGTAGTTAGAGAGAAAATGATTTAATTTGGGTAATCCAGTGCAGGAAAGGCACCGGTGAAAATAATGTAAATACATCAAACACTATTGTGAATAAATATGTAAATAAATAAATTAATAAATAAATTTTAATTTTAAAAAAAGTTTAATTTATTGAAAGAATGTCACAATTGACCTCAATCTGTGTTCCCCACTGTTTATAAATACAAAAGAGGTGTGACAATGTCCGTTGTTCACCTATTAATACAAGTCAGTGTTGAGTTGAACGATAGAAAGCATGGATACATACGGTCACGCTCTGCATTTATTTAAAGACTATTGAAAACAAACAACCCTACAAATAGACTTACAATTGTTGTTCGATTGAAGCCACTTGGTCATTGTATTATTTTATAATTGATTTAAAAAAAAAACCTATAGATTTGATATAATAATTTACCAGAGGAAGACTTTGTATAAAAGTCGCCTGCTTGGCTACTTCTTATTATTTCTGCGTTTTTTTTATACAACTTAGAATGGCAAACAAGCTGACGGCCCACCTGATGAAAGTGGTAACCGTCGCCTATAGACATGAGCAGTACCATGGACATAATAGAGTATACTGTTTCGCCCATGATACCCCCCATGCGTTGCCATTTATGAGGACTCAGGTGTTATTCCTCTGTATCCTGTAAATTCACGCCATATCCCAACCTTCAAACCGAAACACAGCCATGCAAACACAACTGTTTCACGGTTGAAACACGAATGGGACAGAGGTACCCAAGCAATCGACTTTTGTACAAAGTCTCCCTCTGGTGTACATTAGTGTTCTTAATTATACAATACCTACTTGTACAACAATTAGTCCATTACCTTAAGGTTGTCTTGAAAAGATCGCTCTCAGCAATAAGAATATCTCACTGTACTTATACAATTGTTTCGTTATGTTTATTAATACAATATTAAATTAATTTTAACAATATTCTATCCAATTAAATGAAGTTTATAATTATTCTTACCTTATTTCTAGACATATCTAAATAAATGTTTCTAATGAAATATATTTAAATAGTTAAGGATAAAAAAATTCTTTGAGATCACTGCCAGCTGGTAGGGTACCTAGGAGTCTTGCTGCATTTATTATTTGCCTTGTTTATTTCCTATATTATACAGCAAGCATTATACAACAAATAAATTATGCTCATTAAATAATTAATTCATTAAATAAATAAATATATTATATACATGAATGCATTAAATAAATAAACAGTTAACGTAGATTTAGGTTTTTTATATATGCAATGAACAAGTATCAAATCCTTTAATCCCTAATTTAGCCGCCGGCACTAGGGTGTCGATGTTAAAGTGCTCGGCGGGAGACATCGCTAATTTGTCACGTGTCCTGTTTCCATCCCATGGTTTGACATTAGATTTAAGGGCTACGTTGTTGAATGTGATCAGGAAACGAGAATAGAAAGGTATTAAGTAAAGACGTGTTATATATTTTTCCTTGTAATAAATAGTGAATTGTTTTTGGTTACTTTTATAGCTATCCTAAATATCTATTTATTTATTTATATTTATTAGCGTGCCACGTGGTACAAATTAGTTAGTATAATATAATAAGTAAGCACATAAGACATGTAACACCATGCAGGGGCACCTTTTACAACTGGGCTTTAAGGACGCATGCTGTTGTCTATCCCTCAACTAGTAAATTCCTTTAGCCGCCTCTTACGACAACCACGGGAAAGGAAGGACCGGTCCATTTTGTGCCAGGACTACACAGCTAAAAAGAGATGTAAGCGGCTATAAATTTACAATGCAAATGCTGTTCTCTCGTTCATTTTAGTTTCTATTTTGACCCTCAAAACTCTTTGTTTTATTTTTGAACAATGTTGCTCTTGAAATCACGTCTTTTTCAACCGACTTAAAAAAGAAGAAGGCTCCTAAGTCCGTTGTATTTTTTTATATTTGTTATCTCATAACTTTGTCAGTTGTGAACTGATTTGGATTTTTTTTTAACTTTAAAAAAAAATTTTAAACTATTTCGAAAATACTTCTTTTATCTTTATGTATACACTTACAGATTAGTCCCCTAGAATTTTATTTAAAATCGTAAAACGATTTCAAATAAAATTCTACGGAACAGCTTGAAGATCAACTTGATACTGTATATTGTTTGAAATGAAGTTTTTTTTTGGTGGTTGAAAATGGTATGGTAACCTCGCCTGCGCTAACGGGATACGCTGGCGGAGCACCAGTGAAGGGTGATAGATGAGAATGAAAACAGGCCAGTTAGCCCATCATGATGAATTCATCAGGAAGTAACCATGATAGTTTCCAGGGTAAACCGCGAGGAGGTCGACCTGGTTGGGTATATTGCTAGCAATGGGATTCTCAGTCTCCATTACTAACAATCCCTTTCCCCCTGAAATGAGGTTGTTAGGCTCCATTACTAACCATTCCTTTCCCTCCTTTCCCCCTCATCAGTTGATTGTACAAAGTAATGCTTCTTGTATTTCTGTTTTGTATATTGTATATTCACGTCTCTCTCTCTTTCTCTCTCTATGTGTGTGTGTGTGTATACGCAGATATAAATTTTCTATTTCGATTCTCGAGATCTATTATTATAAAAACGTCGATAGGCAAACCGAAATATGTTTAATAAAAAAAATATCATGTTATTTTTGGCGATTCCTTAAAAGTCACAAAAAAAAAAATTAAAATAACACGAACGATGCGACACAAGCACTCGGGTATTCGTTAGCGATATTATTGTGAAGATATTCATGCGAACGCATTAGGATCACTTCCCGGACTCTTTTCACTGAAGGGTGCACGCTAAACAATATTTATGCAAGATTATAATGAGAGAAACACTCGAGTATCTCCGCTCTTCATGGTTTAGGTAAAATAACAAGTAATCGTGGTCCGTACGCCATTACGGGCGCACACAAAAGTTTAGCGAAGGAAAACCCATGAAAAGCCCCACTGTGTTCCTCTATAACGAATGCCCACTCTTCACCATTTTCACGCAAATTAAAAGACATATACAAGAATTCGCCCCGCGAGCTAAAACACACCATTCACAGATGCCGTATTCAATTGCTCGAGAGTGAAACGGAACGCCCCGAGGCATTAATTAGAGCAGAAACTCGTGTCTATGACCGTTCCTTTTTTAAAACTGAGATCTTTATGCGAGTTTCCGCCTTTGTGACGTGTTCCTGGAGTATCAACTTGTCAAATCTTAGTGTCAAGCGATGTTTTAACTTCTTTTGATGTTAATCATTGAAATTGTCTTTCCCATGTAGAAGGTTTTGCCAGTAGTTGCCACGCTAGGCTGGAGGGTTGGCAACCGCAGTTTGGCTTTTAGTAATATTTTAAGAGGGACGTTACTAGTTATTCCTAGACAATAAGCTCACTTAGTCGCTTCTTACGACACCCACGGGAAAGGAAGAGGTAGCCTATTCTATGCCGAAACCTATGTGCTTATTGAAATTGAATTAAAATTGGATAATTATAAATTGTTTATTTTAAAGGAGCGGTTCACGCCGATGAAGCTGAAGAGCCTTTGAGATGCAGTTCATCCCCAGCGAGTCCTATAGAGCCTTCTGATGGTGAAGACGATATATCTATTGGCGATAATCGCAGTGAAACGTCGACGCCTAGAAAAATACAATATGCATTTGAAAGTAATGCAAAGAAATATCAGAAGACAGCCGATTCGGAGGAAAATGAGAGATCCTCACCGCTTGAATATAGTTTTAACAATCGCTTAAAACATTCAAATTACAATTCGCCGTACAAGGAAGATGAGAGTGAGATAGAAAATCGAACGGAGGAACGAATGAAATTATACGACAACGGTCTCTTTCATTTGTATAGAACCGATAGAGAGAGCAATAAGGACGACGGTAACGAAGCTGGTGCTACGTTTGGCCATATGAGTGGACCGCTCACGGAGAGCATCTATGGCCGCTCTATGGATTTGTCAAAGAGTACTTTTCAATCACAATTGCTGGCTGGTTTTGCAGCCTCCGTGATTGCGGGCAATTCGCAAAGGGAGTCTCAAGAATCGACAGGTATATAACATTAAAGAATTCTTTATCTATGTATGTATTTAAAAATTAATGCCACTTTTCGTTGTAATTTTATAACTCAAGAACGGGCTCACCTATCCAAACCAAATGTTTAGGGTTTGTTCGGACTATTTAGTAGATGGTTTATGTGAGGTTTGCACAAAATCGGTAGAGCGGTTCTTCATTTATCACATTTTTTGTAACAAATGAATTCAATAAATGGCGGATCATTTTGATAATGGGGATTTTTGTGTCAAATTCAAACTTTTTTTAAGATGGGATTGTGCTGTCAAACTGAAACCGTTTTCAGGGTTTACAGTACAAGTATACTGTTATGTCATTCATGCAGTCATTTAATTTTGGTCATGCTTCGATTAAAGCAAATTGTCGGCGATGATTATTGCTTTGTGTTTATATTTTTATAAACATATTGTTGAGTGTATTTATCGTTATGTTACAATAGCCATTTTGTAAAATGTTGTAAAAATGTTTTTTTTTTATACAACTTAGAATGGCAAACAAGCTGATGGCCCACCTGATGGAAAGTGGTAACCGTCGCCTATAGACATGAGCAGTACCATTAACATAACAGAGTATATTGTTTCGCCCATGATACCATCCATGCATTGCCATTCCTGGGGAGTCCGGTGTTATTCCTCTGTACTCAGTAAATTCACGCTATATCCCACCCTTCAAACCGAAACACAGCCATGCAAACACAACTGCTTCACGTTTGAAACACGAATGGGCAGAGGTACCCAAGCAATCGACTTTTGTACAAAGTCTTCCTTTGGTAAAATGTCCACCTGTGCGAAGCCGGGACGGGTCGCTAGTTTTGTATAATTTAAATAAGAATATTTATTCTATGACAACAACCATATATTCTGGTATAAGTGTTCATAATTAGGTTTTGTCATACGATTTTAAAGTGTTACTTTTTAACTTGACTTCTAAAACAGAAGGTTTTTTAATTCGGTTGTGTTTATTTTGTATGTTTATTACCTTATAACTCTATCATTTATAAACCGATTTGGAAAATTCTTTTTTCTTCTGAAAGAATATACTTTCAGGTTGGTCCCATAGAAATTTTATCAGAACCGGTTTAGTAGTTTAGCATTTAAATTAACTAATTTTGACACTAATAAAGACGGGGTTTTTTGTGGAAAAAAATATTATTTAATTTCTAACAATGGTGAAAGATAATTATTTTATTTGTTAATTTTATTTGTTTAATTAAATTAATTATGAAGAAGAAGGGCCAAATTAAAAGTGCCCGTAACCGGCGAGAGTGTATGAAAAGATTACTGAATGTGGAAGAAGCGAAAGACGTTTGTTTGAATCGAAGCATTTGGCGTTCCATTGTTTTTGCCTACCCTAATGGGAGACAGGCGTGACAGATATGTATGTATGTATGTAAATTAATTATAGGTATACATAATTATGTGTTTATGTAGAACGTATTCTCCCTAGACACATAATACCGATATTTTTTTTTTCCGTTAGTAATGAAGGTATAAAGAATGTAAAGTCGGTAAAAAGAAATTTTTAAATACAAGAAATATTAAAGTGAATTTAACGTGTGATAAACACGTTTGAATCTTTTCTTTCCTCGGTTTTATAACCTGTTTAATTGTATCTTATATTGAAAATTTTGAAATATACGTGTCTATTTCATAGTTCATAATACTATACCAATACGACATAAAGCATTCTGAGCGTGTTGATCAATCAGTGGGGCTCTCTGTTTTTTTTGGCGCTGGGTAAGTCTACATACGGAAAAATAGACATGCGACGGAGAATCGTATAGTCTCAAATAGCAAAAATTTTATCTAATTTAATTTATATTGTACTAACATTATTATAAAAAAAAATCACTAACACATAATATGGACTTAAGTCTGAAATAAAATTTATTATTATTATTAAATAAATTTTACATCTCCCCTCTTAAGAAGATGGTAAACTAACCCCCGGTAGAGGCACAGTCAGCCGGGGTTCAGGGCCCCAGGGAGAGAAACCGGCGTATAATGCGGGCAGAATCTAAGAGCACCGCTTTCTGCATCTTTCCCGGGAGTGAACCGCTTCGAAATCCCAACCGTCTGAGACCTTGTTCCAGACTGGTTGGGATAAGACCGTTTACCGAATTTACGTTTGCATGGCTGTGTTTCGGTTTGAAGGGTGGGATATGGCGTGAATTTACTGGGTACAGAGGAATGACATCTGAGTCCTCAGGAATGGCAACGCATGGGGGCTATCATGGGTGAAACAGTATACTTTGTTATATCCATGGTACTGCTCATGTGTATAGGCGACGGTTACCACTTTCCATCAGGTGGACCGTCAGCTTGTTTGCCATTCTAAGTTGTATAAAAAAAAAGATGACACCACATTTCGGTCACCTTTTGAGCCAAGTCGAGATATTTTGTCTTTTTCTAATTATTATAATACATTAGGCTAGCGTAATATTTTTCTTTTGTGAGATCTCTACTTCTTCTAGACCCAATAGTGGACTCGGTTTTTAGTATTTAGTATTTTAGTGGTATTGAATTTATAACTAAATTATTGTTTAACATAATAAACAGAAAGGCAAGCCACAAGTCGACCAGCGGCGACGTCGAACAGTGGCCGCAAGCCGCGCCGCCGGCGGACCGCCTTCACCCACGCCCAGCTCGCATACTTGGAACGGAAGTTCAGATGTCAGAAGTATTTGAGCGTTGCAGACAGAGGGGACGTGGCTGATGCGCTAAGTCTCAGCGAGACGCAGGTCAAGACGTGGTACCAAAATCGGCGGTAAGGAAAAATATTTGCTGTTTTGTAATAATAATAGTTATTTTGTATTTTAGACTTTTTTGGTCTTAAAACTATTCATTTAATGTTCTTAAAACTCATGTTAGTAAATTTATATACACAATACACACACACACACAGACATATATATATGTACATAATAATATATATATATATAATAATAATATATATATATATATATATATATATATATATATATATATATATATATATATATATATATATATATATATATTAAATAGTATACAGATAATCACCACTGTACAGTTCCATTGGAAATTGCGTTGCGGTGATTAACGTACACACAGCCTGCTTGCTATTGTTGCTTATCATACTGTTTAATTCTAATCTATGGCTTTTTCGCGTAGGCGTGTTAGGTTAAAAATGTCCTGTGTTAGTTGTGAAGAGTTGTATTATAGGTTATGCGAAAACAGTAGTTCTATTTTGTTTTTTATACATCTGGCAAAATGAAGTGTATATCTTTATGATTCATGTATGTGAGTTCTAACCCATTTTATCCCATTATAACTGAATGGCTGAAAAGATTTGTCTTTATGTGGTATCGTCAGAGAACTTATACTATCCCGAGTGACACTAGCAATAGTTTTTTTAAACAGTTCGTGTTAGGGCAGGGTGACCCTGTTTTTTAATTGTTAACCAAAATGTACCTGCTTGTTTCACCACTTTTCAAATTGGCATATATTACTCTAGTAATAATAAATTGATACCTATATCAACTGGCTTCGATGCTTCTTTCCGCTTTAGGTTTACTAAATGAAAACTGTAGTTAATTTTATTTGTTTTCTACTACTGTATGTTTCTGTTTAAATGTACCATTGTAACTATCCATTTAGAATTATACCTACTATTAAATTATGTGTAACTCATATGTGTAAGACTATAAAAAACATTCTTATAAGATATCCATTCAGCCACTATATATATTTGAAATTCGTTTAGGTATTTATCATCCAAAGGTTGCCTGGAAGAGATCGCTCTTAGCGATAAGGTCGCCCATTGTTTTCTCGTTGTGATTATTTCTTGTAATTGTTTGTATCTATAATAAGTTTACTATTGTAATCTTTTGGAGGAAACAATAAAGAATATCCATCTATCTATCTATTTAAATATGAATGAGTAAAAACATTGAAACATTCCCCTAATCATCCATTTGCAAAGATTTCTGCATGTTTGTTTTTTTTATACAACTTAGAATGGCAAACAAGCTGACGGCCCACCTGATGGAAAGTGGTAATCGTCGCCTATAGACATGAGCAGTACCATGGATATAATAGAGTATACTGTTTCGCCCATGATACCCCCCATGCGTTGCCATTCCTGAGGACTCAGATGTTATTCCTCTGTACCCTGTAAATTCACGCCATATCCCAGCCTTCAAACCGAAATACAGCTATGCAAACACAACTGCTTCACGGTAGAAACAAGAATAGAGGTACCCAAGCAATCGACTTTTGTACAAAGTCTCCCTCTTTCAACAAGCGTAATTTTCACTCGACAGAACTGTAATTAATCCGTGTCCCGCGTTGGGCGCCAATATATTAGTAGCAAACATCTCTATAGTCTGATTGCGGTTGTCAACTCGCCTGCCAAGCATGGCAACTATTGACAAAACCCTCCTTTATGGAGAAGGTCTATGTTTAGCAGTAAATAGTTAACGGCTACTTTGATGACGAATTACTGTAATATTAATTTACGTGAATTTACTGGGTACAGAGGAATAACACCTGAGTCCTCAGGAATGGCAACGCATGGGGGGTATCATGGGCGAAACAGTATACTCTATTATGTCCATGGTATTGCTCATGTCTATAGGCGACGGTTACCACTTTCCATCAGGTGGGCCGTCAGCTTGTTTGCCATTCTAAGTTGTATAAAAAAAATATAAAAAATATCTCATATTTAGAAGTTAAATATGACTGTTTGTTTTCCTAAATATAAGATTTATCCAGTCTATACTATAAATATTATAAAAATTAAAGTGAATTTATTTGTTATTTTTTGGCATCTTAACGGCTGAACCAATCGTAATGAAATTTGATAAACATAAACCAATTTTGATAATAATTATTTTTTATAATCGATAGAGTTTACTTCGGTAGTGATGCAATATTAATTCTGCCACAACTGAAGTTGACATTGTTTTTTTGTGTAGCAAAATCTTAAATATAATAATAATCTTATAGGACAAAGTGGAAGCGTCAAAATCAGCTACGCCTGGAGCAGCTGCGCGCGCAGGCAGCGAACGGGGAACGCGAATTGTCGGCGCACGCGCTTCCGTTAGCTTGCGCTCTGCTACCACCGTATCCTGCTTACATGCATTGTCATCTGTGAGTCATATAAAAGTAAATATAATATACTAGAGTTCATTTTAATGGAATTTAATGAAAATGTAACTATGTTTTATTGAAGTTATAATTGGAAACATTTTTCAAACAATCATCTTCTTACCCTTACCCCAATTTATTTGGGGTCGGCGTAATATGTTTTTTATCCATTTACAAAAAGATTTGGCTTATAGTTTTACGATCAGCCGCTTGTCTGACGTTAACCTTCTTTGAGAATTACAAATAAAAAAAAAAAACATTTTTCAAACAATTGTAATACAAATTGAAATATGGAATATTTTTTTTTAAATTGTACCAACTGCTATTGCACATCAGCTGACTGTCTTATAGTCGGATTAATTATTAATTTGTCTATAATTTTATTAAGTTTTATTAAAATAATCTATAATTAGATTATAAGAATTAATTTTGGCATTATATATTGATGGGAGTCAGTGGATGCAGGTGGTTCAGGAGCGTTATTTATGGCAGTTTATGGGAGAGGCTTATGTACAGCAGTGGACGGATAATGGCTGACATGATATGAATTTATTATTGACGAACATGATCTGAAGCAGTTAATCAAAGTTAAGTTAATTTATTTTAATAATCAGTGACACCGTGACAATTTTATTTTGTTATTTATAAAGAAAATTAGTTATTTATTTGTTTTATTTACTTATATAACGATTGTGCAATAAACTGTTTGCGAGTAAGACAGTTCTTAATTATGATTAGAAATTAAAATTATGTATTAATTGTAAACCAATCGCTTTGTTTAAAAACCAAGTATGAAAGTTTTTGTTTAAAATGTATTAATTAACTATCAATCAATTTGTTTAAAAGACCTTTATTATTTTTGCAAGTATGAAAGTTCTTAATTAAGATAAGAAATTAAAATTATGTATTAATTAACTATCAATCAATTTGTTTAAAAGATCTTTATTATTTTTGCAAGTATGAAAGTTCTTAATTAAGATAAGAAATTAAAATTATGTATTAATTAACTATCAATCAATTTGTTTAAAAGGTCTTTATTATTATTATATTTAAGTAGATTTGTTTACAAGTTCTTTTAAATCGTCACTTTCTTATCATTCTATTGCTGGTTTCTTTGTTGTTACCTATTATAGTATATATAGAGATATTTGGCTTAATAGTCCAGGAATGGGCTGCAGCGTCCCTCTTACAACATCTCCAAGAGCTAACTTTTGCCAATCTGCCTGCCAAGTATGGCAATTACTTGCAAAACCCCCCGAAGGGGTGTTCTATATTTAGCAGTGATTAATTAACGGCTGAAATGGTATGGTACAGATATATGGCTAAAAATTTTAAATGGTTAGAATTCCAGCAATCAAATAATTGGTATTCAGTAGAAGAGGGTAGTAACGTTTATTTTGCTTATTTGTAATATAAATTAACATTACCTTTAAAGAGGAAAGATTTGATTTTTTTATTTGTAAAGGATAAAATAAAAAAATTACACATTTTAAAAAGTTCATTCACCTGTAGTCAGTTATTATTATTAATGGGTAAAATGGGCTTTATTTGATTTAAAAAATGTACCGTGCGTAGCCGAGAGAGGTCGCTTTTTACGAATAAGTAATCATTGCTAATAATTTTTAACCTAGATTCAAGTTTATGAAGCTTTGCTTTTGACTCTTTTATTTTGTTAGCTGCTTTAACAGGACTTGACGTATTCTGAATGTATTAGTTACTAATATTTTTTTTAATTAGTTATTTTGTTAATTGTAAATATTTGTTGTTTTTTATTTCAAACGTAGTCCATAATTTTTAAAGGTTAACTATATTACATTAATTATGTGAAAGCACAAATGAATAGTTTTAAAATGTTGTTATAAATAGTTTTAAGCCTAATTATTACGTTAGTAGATTTAATAATAATGTACAGTGTATTAGTTTTTAGAAATTCACCTTTATGCTGTAGACTTTAGATTCGATAATCGCTTAGTTTATAAAGTGTTACCATATAAATATTTATAGTAAAAAACGTGTCAACTTTTTTATCCATGTGAGCATGAATAGGGTTACCATAATGTAAATTTGCTACTCAGTACATGAGAGAGATTATATTGTATGGTTAAATAAAAAAATAAAAATAATACAGAATTCTCATCAGTATATTTGAAAGAACAAGATAAAAAAATGCATAATGATTTTTAATGGTGTTTAACTTTATTTAATACTTTGATTTATACCTGAGTATAGACAAAAAATGTGTTTTCGTATTAAATCACTAAAATGGTCGCCATTTTTATTAATACACGTATATTAATTTGTAAGTAACACCGTACATATGTATATTTATATTATATTAGAAAGAAATAGTTCCAAATTAAAATTTAATAAATCGACTTGGTCTGGGAAATGTTTAAGCCAATTACTGGTAACATTAAAAAAAGCGCGTTTAGTTTCGATTAAAAAAATTGTGTTAGCCAAATGTCAAATTAGTTGACTAAATTTCTTAATTGACACTTGATGCTCTATCTATATAAAGTAAGAATAATTGTTACCATTTGAAAATTAATGTAATTTTTGGGTAATAATTTCATATTATACTAATTAACTCACTATAAGTTATTTTACTATCTACCGATTTTATGTTTTCTTGTCGAGGTAAGAAACTATTTTATCTAATTATTTCGAGTAAATAATATACATGTAACATATCTTTAGCATACCTCTTTGTTCACATTCATTATTTAATTCAATATAATTAATTTGTAATTTCTGTATGCAATAAAATATATAAACACAACATTTTCACTAAACATACATCGTATCTGTATTCCTATTTGTAAAACGTTCATACAAAATTGTTGTATGTAATATAATAAATATGTTGTACGTAATATAATTTTTGTATGTGTAGACATATCGATGATTGTTTCTATCAAAATATTTCAGCAAAATACATATCGTTGTGATATGAACTCAAGGTAGAGTTTTTTTTTTCTACAACGATCTGTTTAATTATTGCCATAATACAAATATATTTATATCACACTTGCTCAAAAAGTTGCTATTTTTTTTTTTGAAAGAGAACAGATAGAAGATTAAAATAGTGGGAGGCAATTTTGTAAAGAACTCCATTAGTATATATTTTTTTAATTTTGTATTATTTTAAATGAATGCAGGTTATTCACCAGATTTGATTCATTTTAAATAAGTGATATTTGCGCGCCAACACGAAAATTTTATGCAATACAAATTAAAAAGTTTCTAAAATTTGTCAATGAATTTGAATTTGGAACAAGATAAAATTCCAAATTTGAATTCTCTTAAAAAAATAGACATTTGTTATATGCGAGTTCATATTGTTCAAAACGTTATTTATTCGTATTAAAATTGATTTTTTTTATACAAAAAGAAAGTAAAGATTTGCATTACAATTGTAGTACATTATTACTAAGTGAGTTATAATGCCCTAGTATTATTCGGGAAAAGTAAATTACGCTTTGATTTACTCACATGAATTGAATGTTACATAATTATAAATCAATTACTTTCTTCTATTGGTGATATATTATTTTAAGTAATTATCTAAAACCTGTGCTAGATTACCATATTGTAAAAATAATTTAATTTAGTTTTACTTAGATATTGTATAGCATGTTAAAAATAGAGGTAAAGTAAATTGCTGATCGAAAATTGCTCACAGCTTTTCAATCATCCACCATTCAAACGATCATTGAGAACAAACAATTCCATTCGAAACAAATTATGCAAATGTTTTGGCGCCATTTCGAATCACTGCTGCCAACCGCTGTCAATTTGCATCTCTTAGCAGCTTGTTAACATCGTGGCGAACCTCAAGCGCTGCAGCACTGTAATCGGAACCGCAACACTTACTATATTGAATGCTATTCCGCTTTAAAGCGTAGTACGCTTTCTTTGTTTAAAGTCAAACAGTCGAACAACTTTGACGGGGTCTCGAAGTCGCATTATCTGTCAATTTATTCAAACGAGATGCTAATTCTCTGGGCTTTTCGTTTCAAAATCGTGATTATTTATCCGCGTCTTTATTTCAGATTTGAGCAAACGAGGGTTTATTAAAGGGTGGAGGTCGTGCTGTGAGGTAATTGGGCTGTTTTGATTTCGCGATGGGGAGTCGGGGGTGTGCGGCGCGGCGCGGTGGGGCGGGAGGGTAATTGAAGTATTTTCCCAGCGTTTGAAGGGTAGTTATATCTGTTCCCGGGACTGAATAGATTAGTTAGCGCGGTAAAGATAACGATCTGTCGACGATGCCTCTCTAATGGGCGGTTTCACTTATATTTTCTTTCATTATGCCATAATTTAGAGGTTAGTGAAGCATTATCTTAATTTGCTTTTACTTGTTCGGGCTGTATTGATGGTGTTTAGAGCGTGTCGTAATCAAATTGGAACATTGATTGCGTATCATTTGTAATCATCAAGCTTCCAATTTGATTTGATTACCGTTAATTAGGTACTTATTTCTTTGTTATTTTTAGATTTTTATCTTTAGGAAAAAATTGGAGTCTGTCAGAAGGACAACGGGGCTTCATTTTAGAATAAGCACTAAGAAGAACTACTTATATGTAATTAAATGATAAAAAAATTAATTACTTAATATTTTAGAATAAAAAAAATGAAACATCTATGGAAATGAAACAGGTACGTGTATATATAACTTTATTATTATTATTTGAAGTTTGTTTTTTTATCAAATACACGAAGAAAACATTTTGTCATGGTTAACTTTATAATTAATTGGTGATAAAAATGATGACGGATGATCCTTAATTTGGCAAATATATATCAATATATTTTACTTAAAATACGGTAGGTGCGAAATACAATTTCACCTTGTATTATTTCAAGTTTCAAGACAGTAGAGCATTATTGTCATGAAATTTGAGATACATAATCCTAAGCATGACAATGGACATTAATATGCTAAGTTCTATGCTATTTTCTTCTTTTCATTTAAGAGTTTCCTCTTGTTGGTGCAACTAATTCATGCATCTTCCTCCAGCCAGCTCTATCCCAGGTCATATTCTTGATCTCCCTATACGACATGACACCTAGTGTTTCCTT